TGTTGGAAATATAGATTAATGCACAAAATAAGTTCTTATGAATTATTGCACATAATAAATTTACAAAATATTTATGAAAAAAATATAGTCTATCAAACGGAAATAATATAATTATGAAGCATATTATAAATTTATAACTTAAAATTCAATATTCTTTAGGATTGAGATAATTTTTCAATGATTTTATCAGTGCTTGGTGTCAACTCCATATATATATCACAGACATGCAGGCCCAGCCTTAAGCCCTGCCCGTGGGCCAGGTTTCAATTTTTTTTTAAATACCTGGGCCGGGCCTATAGAAATTTTTTAATAAAATGTCCGGGCCGGATCAGGCCGAAAAATCCAGGCCGGGTTGTGCCGAACATTTTAAAACCATATATTTTAAATCGTCATTATTAACTATAATGGTACCTCTCCAGTTCTCAGATATATATTAAGAAGGGTTAACACCCATTTAGTCTATTTTCAGAGGTAGTATTTCTTCTTATGTTGTTAAACGGCTCGATTTGAGCCGATATTTAAAAATGGCTACCTCAATGTATCTAGAAAAATATTATGCAAGTCTGAAGATTTTGCTCATATGACATAAAGGTTTTTATTAGCCAAATTTTGAGGCTTAGGTTCTATTTTTCTGGTCTTTAAAAATCGGCTCAAATCAGGTCATTTAATAACACTAGTTCTCAAGCATGTTTTTATTTTTTATTATAGTTAAAGAAAATAAAGTTCTTTCATTGGTAGAAAAATATTTAATCATTTCTATACATTAAGAAAATAGTCTAAAATATGTTTGGAATTACGCGATGCAACTAGAGCATTTTAAGAAATATTATCGCCCAATTTAACCCCTCTGTTACATAGTTTGCATTCAGTTAATAATGCATCATGGAATACTTTAACATCTCGCAAAAATCTGTCAAATATATATTTTCTCTAACAAGATTTGAAATAGATTCGGAAGGATTTAGCGGTGTTAATATAGGCAAATTTGTAAGTACTCTCTGATTAATCAAGAACCTTTCATTTATTTTAGTTATAAAAGTATCCAAGAGAGGGATCAAGAGATTTATTTTATAGTATTTTCCGACTGACCCTATATTAATATTGTAACAATAGGCCTGCCTTGCCTAGAATCGAGGTAGACTAATATTAAATTTATTCCTATCTTTTGACTCAAAAATGGCATATAATTAAATTCGTATAACTTCCTTCAATATAATACTTACTGCTATTCTCATCGGCTTTCAATGATATGAAAATTTTTTTTTAAATGGTAGATAAATAAAACGCCAAATAAAATTTGCCGTTATTAATTCATAAAATAAATTAGCAGCATAATTATTTCTGCTGTGAATGTGATAAATAAATGTACATTGGAATATATATATACGATAGGATGTAGGAATCAGTAATATTTTTAAAAAATATTTTAGCCGACATTTGGATTTTTTCGCTCAAAGGGATGGTAGATTTGTCTGCCTACGCCCCTACCCCACTACGCTGCTTACGCGCCTGGCCTATTACCACTAGCAAGGATGATTTATAATATTCATTAAAAAAAATTTATTAAAAATATAAAATATATTCAAATTGCATGCGATCACACGAGTAAAATATAAACAATTTATAATGGTTGAATTAGTTAGCATAATATTTATACCTTTTTCAAAATTACAATTCTCTTACAAAATTTGAAAACCTGTATAATAGTTTAATTTTGGCCCCCGTACATATTTAACAACATTTTATTAAATAATTTTCCTAATCAATAATAAAACTCTTTATAGTATAATATAAAATATATCTTTTAACACGTCAAATTTTTTAATTTTTGCTATATTTTTAAAATATTAAATAATATTTATTGGGTATTTTATGTGGATTAAAATATAAGAAGATGACCTCTAAAGGCTGCCCTGCATTATTAGGATAAGGAGGTAACTTCCAAAGCTGGTCTTAACTTAATGACCTTAGTTTTATCGAGATCTCTAAAGAAAAAATCTGGCTTGGATTTTGTTCATTTGCTTGGGAAACTTATTTGTGTAAATTGATTTCTATTTTTTAAAAATAAAAAAAGGTATATTCATTTCATTATATCATCGTACAAAGTAAATGTTGATATTTTAATTTAAAAATAAAACAGAAATATATGAATAATGTCAATCAAAGTAAAGGGATTGGTTATAATTTTGTTGTCTCATAAAAAATGTAAGATAATAAAACTATAAAAATTAAAAAATCAACTTTCTTCATTTGATAATTGTCATACTTGAATTGGAAAAATATGTATTTTTTTAACAGAAATATAAATCCATTGACTTATATGTTTTCTTGATAATTTGCAGTAATGTATCTACAAGGTTCGAGAGGTTGGGTGGGGTGGGGGGAGGAATAGATAATAATCACATATAATATTTAATTTGAAAAAAATATCTTAAATGGAAATAAAACTTTGGTAAAAATATTGTGAGCTCAAGTATCTCTTTTAATACTCTATGGATTACTTGTCCCATGATAAGAATATAGTGATAATGGAGAAGGGGAATCAAGAGGGAGGGGACATCCACATTGTTACTAATATCCATTTTATAAAACATTTTTGTCATTGCGAACCATCTCATCTTCATGTCTTAGGGGGATCTAGCGGGCCATGATTCATAGGCTTAGGATTTGCTAAGGGAGAGCACTTAGGCATCGTCAATTTATTATAGGACTTTAGGCTTAACTTAATATTGGAAACTATGGCCCGTGTTTCATTTTTTTAAAAAAAATTTATTTTACACTTATTTTATACCAAAAAATTATTTCTCTGAAGTTTTTTTTAATTTTTAATATTACATTTATTTTTTTAAATTATGGTTTATAGTGGCATATTATATACATTCTAACCCTTGCTGCATAAGCGTATCTAGGATTCTGCTAAAAGGGGGGATGGCGCTATTATATGGGGTTTTCCGCCATAAATTTTATTGGGGGTCTTTAGGTTAATTCATTTATTATAGACCTTTGGCTATATTCAATTTTAATAAAAATAATTTGAGGTTTATATTTTTTTTTATAAAAATGCTTTTTTTATCTAAAAATTTGAATAATAGTCGTTATTTTAAAAATTTATTGACCTTTATTAACTCTTCTTTCAGATTTTTCTTAATGATAATTCTATAAATTTTGGGGGGAGGAGTGGGGGGGGGGTGTAGGGGAAAAATTTTATGAGCTAAAATGATATTTATGAAAACAGACAAATCTGCGATGGGAGATAGAGTTCTGCCAATGCCCATAAAGGCTTCAGACTGGGCCGGCATATTTAAAGAACAATAATTTTGGATTCGGGCTGGGTCAGGCCTAATATATTTTTAAAAATTGGGCCAGGCCGGGTTTGTTAAATTTAAATATTATATCACTCAAATTTATAGAATATTGATATATTAAAATTGCAAGAAATATTCTCTCTAATTGAATACTAATTATTATAAACCATATTTTTTTAAAAAATTAGTAGAAGTTAATAATTTTGTAAAATAATAATTAATTTATGAGAACAAAGGTTTTTTTCTTCTTAAAAAAATGAAAAATCAAAATTATATTTATAAAAATGTAATCTGGTCAAATTTCTTCAACGAGGGAACCGAAAAATATCAAATAAAATTTATGTTGGAAAAACTCCCTATAAGCCCCCCTCCTTACGAAAATTGTAAGATTGATAAATAATCTTAATAATTATTGTTTAAAAAAATTACTAAAATAAAAAAATACATTTATAATTCAACTAAGCTTTGATTGTTTGATTTTTAATAATGATCCATATTTCTCTTGAAAAAAATAATAATTCATACTATCTGAAAGACATTTTATAAAAAGATGTTACAAATAAGTCATATTTAATTGGAACCCCTAATAAATCTCATAGTAATTTCTCCTGTCTTGTACAAATTTCTACTATATCTTTGATGATTTTTAAGAAAATTTTTCCATTCTTTTCGAAATTTAAATATATATTATATTTTATATTTCTAATCTGACTGTTACATTGTGTTCAAAAAAAGACAGAAGGAAAACATTGCAGTGCACAGACACACGTTTCAATTTCCTGTTCTAAAGTAAAAATTCTGCATGAAAAAAAAAGGTAGTTAGAAAAGTGTGTATATTACAAAATATATATTTTAAAAAAAGTTTTTTTATCATCCACCACCCTCTCCCCTTCCCCCGAAAAAGTAAAAATTGTGATACGACGAAAGATAAAAAAAAATATTTACAAATTAATATTGTTAAAATATATATGTAGTATATAATATCATCAGCGACGACATATCAATAATATTAAAATAAATTAAAGCAGCGAAAAAGACGAATGTGATGACATCATAATATAAAATATACAAAAACAAAAATTAGATAATAAAATATATAATAAAAATTAAACAGCTATTTAAAAAAAACAATTTTTAAATAATATTCATATAGTGTCAATTGTGAAGTATATATGTATAAATGTATTATATATTTTTTTCGAAATTAAATTTTTTTTTCATATATATTTTTATCAAAAAATATAGGTTGGTGTATATATAATAAATAATATAGGATATTATATCATATTGAGTCCGTAAAATTATTTGGTGTAAATGAAATTGTGATATAATAATATATTTATAATTAATTCTTGTCTGAATTTCACAATTTTTTGCAGGTAAAATAAATTGAATTGTATTTTAATTTTAAAATATTAAAGGAAAGTGATTTCCAATTTTATTTTATTCATTCAAAAAATTTTGCCTTTTTTTTAAAAAAATAGAAATAATTTTTTATATTTTAAAAATGTTTTTTTTTAATATTTATTTTTCATTTTCGAAAAACCTTATTGTTTAAAATATTATAATTATTAAATTATATATAAATATTTGTTTGAAACTAAACCAATATCATTTAGTTGTTAATAAATTAGAAATTAATAAATTCATTCTCCTTCTTCTAATCAAATATTCTAAAAAACAACTAAACAATATTCGATTTTTCTAAAAAAAAAGAAATATGTTAAATCATGTGAATCTGACCATCCACTAGTTTATCAGAGTTAAATTGATAGATCCTTTATTATCAGAAAAACTATTTTAAACACAATAATGATGATAATTAGAAATCGTAACTAAACACTTCAAAAATCCAAAGGTTCAACAAGATTCCTCTAATCTCACTCGCGATTTTCCTTATTGATAAAATCATTTATACAAAGTTTTATATCTCCAAATTTTGTAACCCATCTAAACAAGCTTATAGACTTTAGATTAAAAAAAATTAGGTTGCAACAGAACAAAATCTAAAAGGCACCTTTATTTGGAAAAAGTTAGTAGACGAGCCGAAAAAATTTAGTATTTTATTCTACTTGGTGTATGAAATTTTTTATTTAATAAAGGATAATAATACATTCAGTCGATGCTTCTTCCTAGAGGTCAAATTATAGAAAAAAAGGTAGTCTGAAATGGACGATGTCCAAAAGTTTGTCATGAATACTTACCAAAGATATCTTATCCCTTCTCGACAAGATCATAGCTTGATACCCAAGCCTCTTGATAATTTTAAATCGTTCCATTCCAATTGCAACAACTTTAGTGACAACATGAGCATTAACAGTTATAATAATAGTAACAGTAATTGCAATAACAATCCAGTAACCCCTCATCCTATTCGTCAAAATAATGAAAGTATGGGAGGGAGGCCATCGGGTGTGGGTCTTGATGTCTTGCCTCCTCACCCCTACTTCTACTACCATCATTATATATACAACCTCTTGCAAAGACGATATCCTTCTGTAGGCTTGACCATTAACGATAACCATACTATGTCCATAACTCCCACACCTAAGACATCCTCTCCATCCCCATTTTTATTCATCCAATCACAACAACAAATGCATAATTATTCACAAATGATACCCATGTCATCTTCTGACATAACTAACTTTGATGAAGAGCACAATGAGGATGATGTAGGAGTTGGGGGTCATTCTTTTTACTCTCTGCCACTCATTCGTTCTCGCCCTTGTATAAATTCCTATACGATTGGTACTGACCAAAAACTTAACTATCGTAATAATAACGCAAAAAATAAACACGAAAGTAACGAAGATTTCAACGATACTGAAAAGGGAAATACTTCTGGAACAGTAATAGGTATAGGGCGGAAAAGTAACATCCAAAGGAGTAAAAAAAGAGAAAGAAGTCGAACGCCTACTATCAGTCCCGCGGATAATGTTTACGCTTTTGAGGAGCCTCCTGATAAACGAGGTTAAAAATTTGAAAATATATTATATATGAACATTAGCGTATTAATTCTTTTTCAGCAATCTTATAAATTTAAGTGTATAAATATATATATGATGTGGTAAGAGTTTAACAAATTTTATTGTATATATTTAATTGGCCTAGGTCTTTAGCAGATTTTTAAAACTTGACTCATTTAAAGTACGGTTTTTTTAGTTGGTAAAGACTTAATATTACCGGAATTTTATTCCAGCATTATAGAGCACCAACCCTGTAAATTTCAAATTTCAGACTAGAGGCTCACGATAATAGTTTCTGAAAATTATATTATATTATAATTTATATAAAAATTTTAAAGAAGATATAACACTTTAATGATTTATAAATTAAATAAATGTTTAAGAAGATAATGAAAAATATTTGATTTAAATGTTCATTTAAGTTTTAATATATAGAGGAAAGTTATTAAAATATATAAATTTTCTAGAATACTTTATTTAAATACAAATTTTCTCAAATTTTTCTTTATGGATATGTTAAACTGAATATGAAATCCATAAGGATTCATTATATCTTTTTTTTAAATAAAAATATTATTTGACCGGAAATTTGTTCTTTCATGTACAGATTGCCCCACTGTAAACTTCCGATAATTTTGCCGTAGACTTTTGAACTACTCTCAATTTGTATTAAATAGATATAGATTCTTAACATAAATTTTATGCAAAACAGCCATTTTATATTTTAAAATATTATTTGACTGGAAATTTGTTCTTGCATACAGATAGCCCACTGTAAACTTCCGATAATTTTGCCATAGACTTTTGAACTACTCTCAATTTATATTAAATAGATATAAATTCTTAACATAAATTTTATGCAAAACACAAAATTTCATGGCAAAAATTTCCTGAAATCCATATGTTAATTAAACATGCTAGAATACAATTCCGGTCAAATCAAATTTTTTTAAAAATTGCCTTCAGTAATTGTTTAGAAATTAAGAGATTCCAAATTCCAGAAGATTCAATATCTCGAAACAACTTGTTTATATATATCCCTCTAAAACTTTTTACAAGGTCTCTATTTTTTATAAATAATATGAACCTTGTTTTCTCACAAAGATAAAGGCGGGAGCAGAAATTTTATATACAACACAACCTGAAAATATATCGTGGCCCAAAAACTTTTTTTTAAAAAAAAATAAAATAATAAAGGTATTTGAATGAAATTAATAGAAGTCATGTAGAATATATCAAAGGTGTGTGCAATTTTTTTTCTATTCAGTTAAAGTTAATTGGTTAGACAGTAATATACTATCCATTTTAAATGTTAAAAATATGCATTTGATGTTGGTGTTTGCAATCGTTTGAGAGATTTTTGGTGTGAAAATGTACCATTTGATTGAAGCTGCAAAAATATAATCTAAAATATTAACGTCTAAAAATACATTAATCAATAGTTTGTATGTTATATCGAATAATTTTAAAATAATCGTTAAGGTGAAGTATAATTTAAAATATATGATATGCTTAAAATGGGCACTCTCAAAATGTGCTATTTTAGATAATTCCTATATATTCCCTTATTGTATAAATAGTTTATAACCAGCTAATAATTGAATGAAATAATGAAGTTGTGTTCATTATTTTAACCACTTTTCTCTTGTGCTTAGCCATTCTAACTCTTTTTTGCAGGGTTAAATGGCGAAAATTATTCACTTCATTTAATTGATTATAGATATTAAAGTGAGGGCGACACTTTTTTGTGAGGGATTAAGCTACTATAAGTTTTGTTCTGTTTTGTCTTTGTCTTAGTTTTTTTTTGGTAAAAATGCAAAATACCAATTGTTTTACCCCAGTTTCATCTACTTTGTGAAATTTCGGCCTTTCCATAATTATAGAATTTGTATTAATCTTCAGGAAATAACGAATATTCTTTCATGGAAGAACAATAACTTTTGTCCAAGATTCCCTGAATTTCAATTACCAATCTTTCTTATTGAATATCGAGTCAAAAAATTCCATAATCAGATCCCAATTTTTATTTGAAATTCAATAATAAAAGATAAATATTTAATGTATACATACAGTTTGGACATATTGCAGATACCAGCTAATACAATTTTGAATTTCAATTTCCAATTAAATAAAATCATATTCTTTAATTTATAAGACAAATAATAAATATAAATTTACTTTCTTAAAAATGACCTTTCACCAGTAATTATAATTAATCATCATATAAAATAATGAAGTTGAAACCCCAAAAAGCGAGACTTATATAATGTTATATCTTAATAAAACATAACATTAAAAAAAATAGACATATCCATTTTGACCCTTGTATCACTAATCTAATTTGGCCAATCATTACGATGACACAATTGAATATTTAATTCGCATCAACGCTTATACACCCATGATCTATTTTTTGATGGTTCAAGAAATTTCCAAATATTCTGCAAGTGATCAAATGAGAGAGAATTTTAGTGGCTCCCTATATTTATAAATATTTTTTAATGTTTTTATTTTCACTAATAAGGGGGTTAGTCGAACCATTTTTTGCAAAATCGGTTATAGCTCCTGTGTTTTTTTAGATATTATAAAAAACAATATATGAGTAGATACCTCAAACTATACTCTAAAAAGGTGCCTTATAAAAAAGTTAAGAATATACATATTTTTTAAAAAAAATTTGTGAAAATTTTGCCCAACAAGCCCCAATAGCGGGTTTAGGCAAGCTACTTCAAGAGACTTCCTAAACCCTTGGTTATTTTAGGCTAAAATGAATTAAATGCATTTTTATTTATTAATAAGTACGTATGGAATAAATTTATTGTTTTATTGTTCAACATATTATAATACTTATAAATTGGAAGTTCATTTTGGTTAATTTAATAAATATTTTGAACATATAAAAAATTTATCTAAGTTTGAACATGTACCATGTCATCCTTGGCACATTCTGCATTGGGACCACTCTTCGATGTTATGACATTTTATATAATTCAGCTTACTACAAAGACTAATATCTTTGTGAATAATTTTTTTTTCTTGCTATTTAACTTTCTCTTGTAATATCTCATAAAGTTTGATCTAATTAGCTAAAATAAAAATGCCAATAAAATATTAGATAATATTAATTATAACTTAAATACTAATACAATAATATTATACTTCATCATAATTATGTTAAAATACAAGAGCATAAAGTTTAAAATACATTTAAAAATATATATAAACAATATTTTTTCTCTTTAGTCTTTAATTACCATTTAGATTTTTATGTACATAATCTCTATTAATAAATATTTCTAAAATTTGATTATATTGTTTAAAAATTACATTAAATTATTGTGATTATATCTTAAAAATAAGACAGATACTAAAGATAAATTTACCTGTTAGTTTCCTAGTAATCCTTGTTGATTTACAATCTTCATTTACCTTAATAGCCTACTAGTGTTGTTAAAAAGTCCGATTCGAGTCGATTTTTTAACGGCCCGATTAAGATTATAACTAAAATAATATTGTGTAAGCCTGGTTAAAGGATTAGCTTTATAGTAATTTTTTGAGCCGTGGGTCAATCACCTGACTTGAAATATATTAGTTTATATTAATTTACAGGTTAAGATTCAATATAACTAATTTTTGTATTGTGAAATAAATAGTATTCTTTTTTCATTTTTATCTAGATATTTTAAATGACAGAAGAGACATTTATCGAACAAATAATTTGAACAAAATATATAATTGCAAGGGTTTTGTTGAAGAATTAATAAATGCAAAAAATCCTTTATATTATGATTTTTGATAAGATGTCATTTTGCTCTTAGAATTAACTTAAACCAAAGTCAAAATAAGCACAGATGAATAAAACCATATATATGATAAATTATTGTAAATTTTTTGCAAAGTAAAGGCAAGTTTAAATGTTTACTTGATTATTGGTGGCAGTTTTTTATTTTTTAAAAATATAATTTATTTGAACAAAAATGGATAATATTTTGCTTTATAGATTCTATTGACCGTATATTTCAATTTTTATAGTCAATCATGTTTATGCCCATTGTTAAATAAAAAAAACATTTACAATAATTTAAAATCTTCACTAGTTTTTGCTTGAGTTTAGCTATTCTAAATGAATGAAAGCTATTCCTGACAGTTGTTTCAACAATTAGAATTAGATAGACAAGTTTATATGTGTCATCGACATGGATATGATGAGACCGTTTAATTTGCATAAAGATCTTAAAGTTTTAGAGATTGCTAATAATTTCAATTTAAAAATATCAGAATTATGACTTACCATTTATCTTTGTCACGATATTCAAACAGTAAATATTTTTTAAAAATTTTTAAATTAAGAGTATGAAACCAATCTTTAAGATTTTCGAAGTTAAACGTCATATGAAAATGAGACTCTCAAAAATAAATGATTTTAATTAACTTGTTTGAATTTTATTTAACTGATCATTTAACTTTCAATCCAATAAAACCCTTTATTAGATTTGTTAATGCTGGTTTCGGCCTTAGCTGTTGGATATTTACATTCATTATTCATTTTCGAATAAACAGTATTTTCCATTCAATACAATTATTTAGCGGTATAACCTTGCATATTTTATAATTCAAACAACTATCATGTTTCATTAGAAGTTTTTAGCGTCTCCAACTTTCAAATTAAACTAAGTTTTATATTTAATATTTTATTTATTTATTAAAGAGCAGGGACATTTACCGCGTAAGAGGAGAGGGGGGTTGGCACAAGATCATTAATGATATTGGAGTGGAGTAGGTGGGAGCTTTGATTTGAATTTTTTGGTAATTTTAATTTTATTTTTTGGTAATTTTAATTAAGTATGAGGGGGGTAGGAGGTATAATTTAGATGTGGAAAAGGGGATAAAGGGTAAAATTTAGAGGGATTTTAATTTAAAATCCGAACTTTATCAAGTGTTTAGAAAGTGTTTAAAAAATATTTATATTATAAATTTTCTGGGTCTATCAATAATTAAAAGCGA